TTTCCAGGGCGACAAACACCTCGTGAAGCCCCAGGTAGCAGCGTGATTTAGCACAACTCCATGAGCGACTCTGACTCACGCTGCTACCTGGGGCTTCACGAGGTGTTTGTCGCGCTGGAAACAAAGCGTCTCTGTAAGTTTGTATCCCTGGTGATGGTTTGGCCTGGAGAGCAGTATATAAGTGGTGCTTTTCAGGCACAATCTTCCTCAGCCTACTCAAGCTCAACTGATGAGGGGTGAATTCCCCGAAACACTGTGTATTGAGCAGGGAGTGGTGCTTTCTTTCAGGTTTGCCGAGCGGAAGGTGCGACGTGCTCCTGGTGTGCTCCGGATGGCAGTCGTGAGTCAGTCAAGTGTCAAGTTCGGCAAGAAGCGTGTGCTCCTCGTTGGAGCAACCAACTTCATGACATTACCGCCGAAGTCGCAACTTCTAAGTTAATAAACAAGAAGGTGACAAAACACATTTAGGCACAAGTGGCAACAACGTTGGTCCACCTCGCTGTCCCGTCTATCTATGTTTGCCATGGAAGGGGCAGGAATCGATCAAAGTGTGTCACGCAGTCAAGTCTATCGTCCGTCGTACTTATTATGCAGTACATTTTGTGCCAGTCTTCACAACAATGCGTGCGTTCACGGTGCGGAAAGACGTCCTACCAACCCTCCACCTCAGTCATGTTATCTACAACTTCGAATGCCGACATTGTGCTAGTCGGTATGTTGGTAGGACTGTTCAGCACCTGAACGCACGTATCAAACAACACACTCCACTTCACATCCTTCCACCCAGTGCGCAATCTGAGAGGCCCAAACGCGGGAGGCCTAGGAAAAACCCATCACCTAGACGGCAGGATAGTTCCCTGCCGCTGTCTGCCGCTCCCCCTCTGACATCTGTGTTGGACGGGCTGGAGCTTGGCAGCTCTTTGGAGGTGCGTGCAGAACCGCCACTGGTGCAGCCCTCGGGTGTGCCTAAGTCTGTGCCTCTGGGTGCTTTGCATGGGGCTGTGCCTCGAGTGGTGACAGCACCTCTGCCTCCCCCTGATCCTCCTCCTTCGAGGTCAGTGTTGGTGGGGAGCACCCGCGGCGGTCGATTTGTCCCACCGGAACCAGAGCTGGATTCAACAGAAAGACCAACAACCATGGCTGCAACAACAACACCAGCTTCACATCCAACAACAACACCAGGTTCACATCCAACAACAACAACAACTAATCCACAAAACAAAGCAGCAAATGACAGACCACGGAGATCTACAGCAGATCACAACCGGACCTATGAATTCACGGTAAAAATACAAAGGAAACAATCGGAAAGGACGACGACTGACGTGAAGGCACCGGCATTCAGGGTTGGCGTGGGTGGTGAAGGTGAGACGCAGGACGATGCAAGTGAGGAGGAGAGTCAAACCGCGGTGGATGACGGAGCACGTTCTGATTCCGACAGTGAGGGAGAAGGTGAGCTGAGTGAGGGTGAGAGTGAGTGTGAGGGTGTGCGCGTGAGTCGAGATTGTGTGCGTCCGTCTCGTAATAACAAGTCTTCAGTATACAATCATTTGGTTTCTAGTACTGACTGTTGTCGTACTTATTCTGATTCCTGTTTTTCTGTTTTGTGCCGTGCTCGTCATGGTTATCTTTTGCAGTTACAAGTTTTGGAAGCTGTTTGTCAGCGCATTCATAAGCCGAATTTGTGTGTCCAGAAAGATAGTGTTATTACCCTAAAATTGTTCAAATAATGTTCTGTTGTGTAGTGTGGCAACGTTGTTGCCACTTGTGCCTAAATGTGTTTTGTCACCTTCTTGTTTATTATTGTTATTATTATCATTCGTTCTCACTTTTTTATTTTTGTTGCTGATACACACTTGTCACGCTTAGTTCTTACTTGTATACCCTTGTTTTCTGCACACTTTTGTGAGAAATCGCACCTCGATATTCCAGTGCTGTCATTGTATCGTGTCACCCTACCTTGATTGCTATAAAAATTAATAAGAAAAAAAATAATAATAATAACTGGCAGGGCAGCGTTGGGCCTTTTCCTTTTCCTTTTCTTTTTCATTATTATTTGCCATACAGGGAAAGCGAGTCGAAACAAAAAAAAAACAAGAAAAAAAGAAAAAAACAAGGATACACGTACATGTGCATGTACATGTGAACAGATTATTATTCTTCCAGGGTGCGCTATGCTGGAACAACCTGCCTAGCAGTATTCGCTCCATCTCTGTTCCTCGTCATTTCCGTGCTGCAGCAGTCCCGTTTATTCTATGAACTGAGAACATTGCAAAGCAATTGTATGTGTGGCTGTCAATGTACATGTGTGTGTGTGTTTGTGTGTGTGTGTGTGTGTGTGTGTGTGTGTGTGTGTGTGTGTGTGTGTGTGCACGCGCATGTGCGTATGTGCGGGGGTATGTGTCTGAGTATGTGTTTATTGGTGTGTAGGTGTGGGTACGTACATGATGTGTGTGTGTGTGTGTGTGTGTGTGTGTGTGTTTGTGTGTGTGTGGGGGGGGGGGGGGGGGGGGTGGATGTGTGGATGTGTGGGCGTAGATGTGCAATGCTTCGATTTTTCTCTCTTCTCTTCTCTCTTCCTGTCGGTGTCTCCCGCTTCTGCGCAGGCATGGCCCATGCTTCATGCGTGCTTGTTCCTGTTGTTATGTCTACTGTGTCCTGCCGCTACTCCGGCTTTGGCCGTGACCACGATGTGTCTCCCCATTTTCTCCTTCACCCTTTCCTTTCTCTTTTTGCTAAAAGCTTTCTTCTCGCCGTGACCACGATTTTTCTTCTTTTTCTTTCCTTCTTTTCTCTTCTTCCTTTGCTGAGAGCCTTCTGTTCCCATATTTTCTTTTCATCTGTGTCCCCATTCCTGGGTTACTTGGACTTCATTCGCTTCCTCGTCATTGGACATGTTCAGTCCGTTCGGTTTGCGAATTCAAATAAACACAACCAACCAACCATCCCGGCTTGGCAAACCTTTGCCCCATCTGCACGTAGGCGATAAGGTATGGATCCAGAACCAGTCTTCAAAACGCTGGGATATGGAAGGAACGGTCACAAAATTCACAAGAAGAGGACGGAGCTACACGGTGCAGACGGTAACGCCAGCTTCTGGTGGAACAGACGGTTCCTCCGGCCACGTGCATAGATTGACTGGGCATGCTTCTCCTGCGTTTTCCTTGTTGCTTGTGCGCTACGCTGTGATTTTCGAATTTCAGTTTCAGGATTTTCTTTGTGTTAGTGCTCCAAAGTCGCACTTAAGCCGAGGGGGCATGTGGTGATATTATAGCACCTTTCCCTGCATGGGTCTTGGCACTTAGGCTGCTAGTGCTACTGTTCGCACCCTAGGCCCTGCACTGCTGGACCTCTGGCGCCTTGCGCATAACACATTCACATGTCACCTTTCAAGCCGCCTTTCCAGCCAGTTTCCCTTTAACCATTGCGTTTCACTGATGATTCATTCTCATCTTGCAAAGAGTTGGTCTCAGGCCTTGAGCAGGACACAACATGGCGCTCTGTGGTGCGCTCGACATGCACTCACGCTTGGATATCGAATTACGTTTCTCCATGCCGTGATCATGCCAGACATCATGTATGGCTGAAATTGCTTCTCCGCCAACATCCCGTGGAGCGACTACAGAAGCTCCAAAACCGGGCTGTCAGGGCTGTGTTTGCCCAACCTCCACATCCATCAGCTCACCCTCTCTTTTACTCACTACATAGTCCCTTTGTGCTGTGCAGGAACTGTTCCACCACAAGATGCTCTTCTCGGTGTTTTGTTGTGTCAATGGCACTGCATTTGTCCTGCTGCAACAATTGTTTGGATCAGCAGAGTTTTCAAGGTGTTGTTGTTCTCGCGTAAACGGTGAAAACAGTGAAAACGATTGGAAACCGAGCACGGTCATTCCGCGCCGGACTATATTTGGAGGGCAATATCCAACCCTTAAGGCCTTGCGCCCGGCGCCAGCACTTGCCAACTCCAACTAACGCGTAACGTGTTACTTCTCGTCCTTGTGCCAAGCCAGCACGTGCTAACTCCAGCCTGATCGCCTGTTTTCTTGAAAACGGTTCAAAACGATTTGCCAGTTCTCATGTAAACCGTTTGAAAACGATTCGAGGCCAGCGCGATTTCGTTCCATTCCGTTTCGTTCCGTCTCCGTGTAAACGCAGCCTCAAAATCATCATTCTTTCACTTTAACAAAAACGAACACATGGAAAACGGTGAGGCACACGTCATTATGCGTTAGAGTCCACCAACTAAACCAGATGTTGAGCAATTAGACGTGCACAAGGTAGCACCAGACTGACAAGGAGTACTGAGACACTTCACTAGACGTGCACAAGGTAGCAGCACCAGACTGACAAGGAGTACTGAGACACTTCACTAGACGTGCACAAGGTAGCAGCACCAGACTGACAAGGAGTACTGAGACACTTCACTAGACGTGCACAAGGTAGCACCAGACTGACAAGGAGTACTGAGACACTTCACTAGACGTGCACAAGGTAGCAGCACCAGACTGACAAGGAGTACTGAGACACTTCACGACAAGGTTTACTGCTCTGTAGTGCTAACTGATGGCTTTCCACTGCGGCTCCGCTGGTCCGCTGCTCGTCTTTCGCGGCTTGAAACATCATCATTACCATAGTGACAGCGGCTCGAGCTGGGGCAGCGAGGCCGCGGCTCACCGCAAGCTTTCGCTACGCGTGCAGTGGAACCGCGCTGCTCCGCTGCATGTAGCCAAGTGCAGTGGAGCAGCGGAGCCGCAGTGGAACCCGGCCGTAGAAGATGGTTTATGAACACTAGTGATAGGTCAAACCATTTTCCTCGGCCATCATCCGATTTCTCGTATTTCCCCTCATACATGACGGGACATTATTCGGCCGTATACGCACGTCTATTAGTCTTGCGATAAGGCATCCTCAATTTTGCTTCTCATGCACATTGTAAAATTCTACCGCCAGTGAAGCAGATGAAGACAACTGCTCCAGAAATCCGGGCCAACATTGTACTGAGAGCTAAGCTTAGGATTATCGCTGGCACGTCTATGTAGTTTAAAGGCATACCGGTATTCGGAATTGAGACACTGAAGAGTGATTAGCAAAACACAATGAAAAGCTAGGAAAAGCAATGGATGGCAGAGAATGGCAGAGGGCATCTGAGTAGAGATGTGGACAATATAGACTCAGTACAGACAATGCGACAACATAATTTATAACTTATAATCAGGAGTGATTGTTGAGACCATGAAAAAAGAGAACAAAGTCCTAAATTTTAAGATGAAAATGAACTGAATCAGCTGAAGCGACATGTTATGACGGTTCAAATAAGAGGAACGATAAAAAATACATGAACATGCATCGAACTAGCTTTCCTAAATACTAGCAATATTGCCTAGGGTAATTCTATTTGTTTGCCAGGATAAAAGCGGTATGCAGAATGTTCTGCAGTCATCTGTACATTCCGGCTAATGCCACTATTGATACTAGCACAACTGCTAGCCAATTTGTGAAATACAAGCCATATATTATATAATATATAAGTGGTAGTCCTCAAAGTGATATTATCGTTCCTAAAGGATCTACCAAGTTATCCTCTCAGGATTACAACTCCACTGACACCTGTCCAGGTGTTTTGAGAACCGACACGCATGTGGTTAGCTTGTTGCGGGTTAGACACTGGCAAGACGCTTGGTCGGATGTTTGTTTCTATGGCAGGGTTAGTTAAAGAGCTGTTGGTCAGGCCAGGGGATACTGGATGAGACTGTAATGTAGCAGTCTGTACAGCGAACCGAGGCTCCACGGCACTACCAAACTCTGCGTCGTGAAGGACACTCTGCAACTTTATACGTGCCCATGAACGTTGAGCCGGCGGTAGATTTTTAAGATGACTCACCATGCTTAAACAGAATAAGCCGTCCTCGTCATCCATATCACACCACCCAGCAGCAGTTTTAGGATCAAGCGGCACAACTGACGGCTTGGAGGACGCATGTGGCCTCTTGGAGGTCACATCAGCTGTTGAGGCCGGCACCGTAGACTGTTGTTGTGGATGTCGCATTCTTTTGGTCACGATTGTCCCTTTCGTACCACCAGCAATCAAGTTGCCAATACCTGAAGCACAATGACAAAAGGAAGAGAACCAGGAAGAGAAATACATGGTCCCATTAGTTTGATTTGCCGCAGTCGAATGAGGTCCTCACACTTTGTCGCAAATCCCAACTTTGGCTAAAATAACTTCAACATACTAACGAAGAAATTATATTTAAACGAGTATCCACGAATGTCACAACATAGTAAACAGTCAGAAAGTGTGATAACGGGGCACAAAACTGACAGGCTACTGAGACATTAAACGACTTGAGACCTATCTCTAACACATCTCCAGTGTGCAAACCAACCGCCTTCCAGCTTGGAAGGCTCTAAAGTCCCAAGGCAACACAGAATGCCAAATTCTAGCTTCTTTTGCGACGCGATCTGCAATGGAAGTGTGTGATGTGAACTAGCGAAATACCATTCACGGAAGAAGTCAAGGATGCGACGACACCTTGCTGACCTGGCGAGATGTGTATGTTACCATGGTATTCACGTGGCTTGATACAACTTGGGCAAGCAACTCTAGAACCTTTGTACATCTTTGCTGCATAAAAATTAAAATCAAGGAAAAAACGGAGGACTCTTTTCTAAATACTGTATCAGATCTTCATGTACGGAAAACCCAGGCGAGTGAACCACCGCTCTAGCTATTCTCTCAAGGAGAGTGGTGGGAGAGCAGTCCGCTCCCCCTTCCCGCGAGCAAATTGCTCTCCTTATCCGTCCCAGGCAAGCACAATACAATCTTGGTTTTTCAACACCTTGCCATGCCCCAATCAGACTCAATACCCGATACAGGTCTTCCCTCGGGAGAATGAAATTGAAGACACCACTGCAGCTGTACTTATGGTTGATAAATATGGTGGTAAAGACACACCTCGTTAAAACAAGTCCAGATAGAACATAAACGCCGAGAGTAGTGAACTAGAAATCTGAAATCCCCTGGCGAACCGTAGTCTATACAACTGCTTACAGGTCCGGTTACAACATAATTAGTTAGTACATAAAATTCGTTATAACGAAACTTTGCCCATGTCCCTGGAGGGCCAAACCCTCAGTATAGGCAATATCAACCATGCAGGACCAATGCCAAAACACATAGAAGAAAGAAGAAAGACCCAACATATTACATCGATGTATTCATAGACATGGATCATATTTTGCATATTGTGCATCCAAGGGAGAGCTACGTTGGAGAATTTCAATTATCTTATAACGAGTTGAAGTTCCGATAATGTATGTTGCATTGAGGGTAGCCCAGGTAAGTACGAATTAGTGCCTATTTCGCCTTTACCTGCAAGCCCTCTTAGAACATGAAATTTTCGATGGTCCAGGGAGTATCTACTAACGAGTGAGGACTTTTACAGTCAATCCCTTTCTGGAAAATCTCCGTACGCACTACCAATAAAAAGCTGTTCAGACCAAAACGTTTAGTTTACCATCATCGATGTCACAGTCTCAAGCATTTTAGACAGCTACTGGAAAGAGAAACAAATCAGAGCAATATTCACCAGCTGGAGTGTTGCTACACTGGCAATATACACTACGCACAACAAACAGCAAGGACCGCAACAGTAGGATGGCTCAAGTTGGGCCGAGAACGTTCTCTTGTGCTGGGCAGCTAGTGCACGCGAGTTTCACATGCATGCCAAGCTGCCATCAAACAAATAAAAAATATTCTCTCAGGTTGCTGTGAGCTGATGTACGTCCGGTGCATGCGCGGTTACGTCATGCATTTTTTAAATACCGTAGGGCCGAGGCTGTGCTCAAAAAGGAACTTTTTTTGTCGATTCTTGATTTTCCAAGTGCAGTGCATACCTGAAAACCTCGAGTACTCGCAACTGCACACGCGAAACTCAGTGCAGTGCACTAGCAGTCCAGTACAAAATAAATTATTGTTGGGCGGTCCTGTGCTACTGTTGCGGTCCTTGCTCATTTGTTGCCATGGAGCAGCTCTTCCTTCTCGTCATGCCGGGCTGTTGTTCAGCAAGTGATGCTTCGTGGCTGTCTCATTCGAGTTTTTGCGAGGGCCGGGATTAAAAGGTATATGGAGCAGTGTTACCAAGTGCCCTCTACCCCCATGCGTACTGCCCAGTGCCATTTTGCAGAATGTTTCAGTATTTTGCGTACTCGTTTTCTTTCAGGTCAACATTTTGACTGATTTAGTGTAAGGCCACACTTTGTTTTTTCTATGTTTCTCGTCGGCAAATTTTAACAAAAGGTACGCGGGCGGGCGGAAAAAAAACAAAAGCCAAGGAAAAAACAAGACCAATTTCTACTGAAAACTGTATACATTTTTCAATGTACATGTATATGCGTGATTCATACCAGACACTGCGTATACCATGTATACAGGACTGCATTGTACAATCATGTACATGTAGTCCCATACATGATTGCACTACATTATCACATCAGCCCACGAATATCAGGCAAACTGCAACAATGAGAGCATAAAGTTTGATTACGAGATGGCGAAGAGAACATACATTTATCTGCTATCGCATCAACAAACGTTTCCCACTCGTCATTAATTTTGGTTTTGTTACTTCAACGTTCTTGTGTCCGCTTATCAAACTCTTGTCTCCATGCTGCTCATATTTTCCTTGCCATGCGTCTATTGCTTGGATTTTCTGCCTACGACATCGTTCCACAGACGCCAGTTGCAACGGAACTCGTGCGACTTACGGTATTCCTGGGACCCACGAGGCTCAGGCAGTGAACGACTGAAAGCTTCGTCATGACAGCCTTCATCGCAGAGAACGGACGAGGAGCGCTCCTTTGCTGCTGTGGTGCAAACGTTTACGATTTTGATTGACGCATCTAGCTGCTGCAGCATGTGCAGCGCACATACATGTACATAGTATGAACTTTTTTTTTCTTCCGAAATTTCTGAAAACCTACGCGGGCGATGACGAGAAACATAGAAAAAACAAAGTGTGGCCTAATTATCATTACATTTTGGAAAAAACCCGACACTGTACAACATTTCTAGCCTCAGAGTTCACTTGTGAAGCTTACAACTTTAATACAACTTTCAAATTCACCAGGTCATAACTTTGGTCCACTTCGCTTGAAATTTAACAATCTAGGGCTCGTTGGGATGCTCTTGGCAGGAGCAACGCCAGAATGACAAGCTCCATTATGAAGCCGCCACAAATCAGGCGCATTTACACAGCAAAATCGTCTCCAAGTCTACTGTCCATTCGTCGGAAAGAGTCCCGCTGGCTTTTGAATGTCCGATTTGGGCAAAATTGAGGATCAAAAAACCACTTTAAATCTCATAGATCTGGGTTTGGGATCTGCTTCTCCTTAAATTTTGCCATGGCATAGCTTTCCGAATTTTGTAAAACCTGGCTGAATTTCTATTTCCCTGTTCTTTGACTTTTCTGGCTGCTCAAATGTGGCAAGGAATAATTGCACGGGTCACACATTACTGGACGTGCTGTTGTTTTCACGATATCTACAATCTACAACTGTATGTGCGGGAGACATCAAAAAGTTAGGGTGCCAGTTTCCAAAGAATGGACTGTAATATGCAAGCAAATTCGTCCCATCAACACCAGTTCACTCTTCTTCATCGCAGAACGCTCAAATTTGTTCGAGGCTATTCAAGTTTTAGCCGCCTACAATGATGAAGAGATCGATCACAAATTTGATTTTGCCGAGGTAAGAATACCTGAATACGGCGCGCTATATCTCTGGAGTCCAACATCATAAATCTTCAGCAGTTGTTGCTTTGGACAGCTTGGAGGATTTGCTACCACATAGACTCGGCGATTCTTGAATTTGCACAAGACACGATGGAGTTTTAGTAATCAATCATACATACCGTAATTCCGCGCATATAAGCCCACGGGCCTATATCCGGATAAAAGCCCACCTCCGTTTATAAGCCCATGGGCTAATAAACAGACACAAATGCAACTCACGTGTTAAAGTAGAATTTTCACAAAATGTACTCTTCCTACCATGGTACAGCAGGTCAGTGCAGTTTACCAGTAGAGTATGGTAGACTGACCATGAGCATGGACTTGTACTTTTTCGTGAACCTTCAAAATTCGAATATTGGCCCATGGGCTAAAAAACGAACATGTTTTACTGGATATTTTATCCCCAAACTGCATTGTAGGGTTTACCAGGTGTTAGCGGCCGTCGTGAGTTCCCTTCGGGAACGAACACGATAATTTACATTTTTGCTTTTTAAACTGCATTGTTTCACATTATTATAAGCCCATGGGCTTACATGCGCGGAATTACGGTTTGCGGGATATTCGATTGAAATTTTTCCGGAACAATATGGACAAATACGGGCTGTTGGCAACACTAATGATTGCGTTCCATGTGTGCTTTCCTGCCATGAGGTTGGTTTCGGCTAGTGCATGGCCATCGGAGAGTTCGAAAACTGAATATCTTCGCAAGTGAGTTGGAGTGGATACCTTTATTCAAGATGGCTTGTTGGCGTCTTGGGATATGTTGTAGTGGACAATGGTCGTGGCCTACCCACAATTTCCGGAAGGTAACCCCGCTGCTACTAGAGACGTTTTGCAGAGCGAACGTTCGCAATGATTTTCGCGTTCCGGGTTGCGAAAACTATTGCGAACGTTCGCGCGAAATTTGTGTTTTGCATGTTTTTCGCTCCAAGACATTTTCGCGTGCACTCGCTAGCGCTTGTTTGAGAATTGGTCTTCATCCGATTATTTTGTTGTTGCGAGTGGTGGCACCCTGAGTCACGGCCTGAGACAAGAGCTCTATGACTACCTTGTCCATGGCCGGAGATCCACAGACAAACGGGTTGGCTTGTGCCGTAATCTGGCGCATCAACACCTGAAATTCAAAGAGGCATCGTTGATGTAACCGACTCTGCATCTGAGCAGTGAGAAGACGAGCAGGCAGGAGATCGGAGATGGTTCCGGAGATGAAGCAACACGGGCTGCCACAAGTATAGGAAAGCTAGCACCCGCGGACCAAGCCAAGAATAGAGATCAAGCACAAGCATGAGGACTGAGGGTGGCTCGCCGTGCACGAACAGTCCGCAAAGAGCGAAAATTACTGCGAAAGTTTGCATGTTTCTCGCTCCAAGAAATTTTCATGTGCACTTGCTTGTTTTTGAGAAGTGGTCTCCATCCGATTATTTGTTTGTTGCGAGTGGCGGCATGCGCACCAGGTACTCTGAGTCACGGCCTGAGACGAGAGCTCTTTGACTACGTTGTCCATGGCCGGAGACCCACAGACAAACAGGCCGGGCTGGCTTGTGCCGTAATCTTGTGCATCAACACCTGAGATTCAAAAAGGCATCATTGATGTAACGGACTCTGAGCAGTGAGAAGACGAGCAAGCAGGAGATCGGAGATGGTTCTGGAGATGAAGCAACACGGGCTGCCACAAGTATCGGAAAGCTAGCACTCGCGGACCAAGCCAAGAGTAGAGATCAAGCACAAACATGAAGATAGAGGCCGAAATGAGGGTCGCTCACCGCGCACCAGGCTGACCAGCGGTCCACAAAGAGCGAAAATTACTGCGAAAGTTTGTTTCGCGTTTCCTTCAACTTTCGCGTTCAAAACTGCGAACGTTCGCACGAAGTTTCGCTTTTCGTGACGTCAAACGAAAATTCGCGCCAACGTTCGCTCTGAAAAACCTCTCTACTGGCCCTTGAAGATGGCCTTTATAATGGACGCCATTGGACAGGCTAAATTGATTGATTCGTTTGAGAAACTCAGCAATGCGCCAGTCAAAAGTTGTATGGCTAAACATCACTAAGTGACTTGAATCGGTATGGAAACATAGTTGGTTTGGCTTAGATGCCTTGTTGTGAGCAGTGGTGGCCCCTCGTTCTTGTGCCTTGTTTGAAGGTGTTTCAATTCTCATTTTTACCATTTTTTTATTTTGGTCAGTATCTACAGAACAGAGGGGTTCTGGACCAAACTGTCATGATGGGGCCCGGGAATGAGGTCCACCTTAGGATAGAAGTAATCACCTTTTTGTGAAACTGGAAATTCGGTGCGGTTTCGCATACAGTCTTACTCCTGTTGCAGTTCCCGTTGTCAGCAAACGAAAACTAAAAAAACATAAAGATTACGAAGGAATTTATCTCTTGCAATACAAATGACAGCCTGAAACTTGTCACCGACTAACCTGGCTGCGGATTAGTCCATGTCGGAGACGATAACGTGGATGAAGATGACGATGAAGATGGCGATGTGAGCGAAGTCTGCAGTGGTGCTTCATCGGAAAAAGCCGACGGGAATACATCCCCATAGTCCACATCATCTTCACTTGCGCTTGCAGCGCACTTGTGACTGTCAGACTTTCTCTCAGCACGCAAAGTACTCTTTCGTTGACGAATGTGAACAACAAGCCAATGCAGATGCTCAAGCTCCCTGGGCATAGTCAGGCTGCCCATCCACCCTTCTCCCAAACCGTTAGACACCGCTTTCACGTACCTGGAAAGGCGGGTCCGCACAGTATTATACCTGAGCAATTTAACATGCCCACCGTGATCCGTACAACCGTGAAAAACGTATTACACAAGTGCACATGCATTTGCACAAACACACACAAACAAACAGACACACACATGCACACACACACATGCACATACACACACAAACACACACAAACACACACACAAACACACACATACACACATACACGCACACACATGCACACACACACACACACATGTACACACATGCACACACACACACACACATACACACAAACACACACACACACAAACACACACACACACACACGCGCACGCCCGCATGCACACACATACACACATAAAACACACACACATATAATTATTTATACTGAGCTTGTATACAAACTCCCATCTCTCCCCACACAACACTCCAGACTTGTATTTTGCATATAACAAAATATAACTTCGATGACGAGAATATAAACTGGTATATAAACTGGTATATAAACTGGTATATAAACTGGTATATAAACTGGTGTATAAACTGGTATATAAACTCCTTTTTTTTTAGGATCACACTAGGGGAGTTTGTATATCAGCTCAGTATAAGCATAATATAACCTACTCAGTTGAATATGGGAAATATAAACCAATATACAAACCTCGGCTTCGCCTCGGTTTGTATACAGGTTTATATTTCCCATATAATCAACTGGTTAGGTTATATTATATACATACACACATATATTTAGACACTCACACACATACACATCATACACACACACACACACACACACACACACACACACACACACACACACACACACACACACACACACACACACACACACACACACACACACACACACACACACACACACACAGACACACACACACACACACACACACACACACACACACACATGCACACACACATGCACACACACATACACACACAGACACACAGAAATACACACAACCGTACACCCCCCCCCCCCACACACACACACATGCACAGGTGCACACACCCACGCACACAGAAATACACTCAAGCGCCTCTTATCCAGACGCCTCAGATACGGGCACGTCTCTCTACCGGGCACCTTCAGCTTGAGTTCCTATAGCACAAATGCGTCGAATTTGGGTTTTTCGAACTTTTTTCCATATGTGGAAGTGCTTATGTTTCACTGCCAACCTATGTAACCCCCACATTTTTATCAATGGGTTTCTTTTGTATCCTCGACATGTGCAAGACGTGCCAAATAAACTTCTTCAAAAAATGATATCATACATGGTAGATGAGTTATTCTGAGATACGGGCAAATCTGAGATACGGGCAGTGCCCGGTCCCAAGGTGCCCGGATAAGAGACGTCCGAGTGTACACAGATGCACAAATATACACACCCAAACAATCATCATGAAAACCTCTCTGACCCGTTATCCAAAAGCTCCCAGACATTATCGATGCAATTTACCTAGCTATTTCAAGACCACAGTGAGTACACTCCGAGCCACTGCAAAAACAATTAGAATTGTATGGCTAGGGATAAGCTAGAGAACCGGGGGGGGGGGGGGGGGAGGTGGGGGGGGGGGGGGGCAGGACGATAATTGTCTTTTTTGAAATGTTACACAACAAGATCATCTACATGGTTTTAACAAAAATAAAGTCTATGGGACACACAAGTTCAACCAGACAGCATGAATTCCATGGAGCAGTTGGCAATTTCGGATGGATCACCAAACTGAAACGAGGAAAAATATGGATGCCTGTTGCCAAGAAGCTGCATTAAACCCTAATGCTGAAGCAACGGCTGGAAAGTTATCAACCGACCAGCTTGGACAATTTCACTGGGAACTGAGCTCCAAACGCTATTTGCGTCCCAGACCGTAAATAAACGCGTTTTAAGGTCGGTCGGGGTCATTTTGAAGGACAAATTTACTTAAGACCGGAGATCCAGTAAATTTGTCAACAGGCATTACCTGTGTTTACGCTGTCAACAATACACAACCCAGCAGGCACTGTCTTCGCTGCAAATTTAAAATCTATGTTTCTCCATCAAATATTCTTACAGGAGCCAGTATCAGGATCGAAGAGAAGCCGTTGAAGTTGACCTATGTCAACTAAGAACAAAGTACTACTTTCCTTACTATAGCCAGGGCCGCCGGAACCGGTTCGGCTGGTCCGGCCATGGCTGGGACACTTTTCCCAGCTGGACGGTCGAACTGATTCATGCAAAGCCGGTGTAAAAAAATTCAGACTGTCATGACTTTGAATTGTGGCAAGGATCGTTCAATGCACGACCTCACCTTCCACCAAACCACTGCAGCATCGGTCTCTGCTCGATCCTATCAAAAATACATACGCGAGTCAACATTGGAAACGAGCGAAAAGCTCGAGATCGAGAGTCGATCGAGAGACATCTACATGAATGCTGTACGAGGAACTAGGAGGCCGAAAAATAGTAAAGGGAACGTAGAGTGTGCGCACACGTACACTGCATGCATGCATGGTAAACCCTGGCCTGGCCACATCAGGCCGTCAAGCGTAGCATACACGTACACTGAGCTCGTGAAGATCTGCAGGACTGGACGCGAGGTCATGTAGATCTACGCACCACCAAAGCGGTGCACGTCTTGACCCCAGATTTGGCGGTCCTACATGATCCGCAGTCAACTCCCGATCGTGTTGGGCCCGGAAGACTAGCCTTTCGCACGTGCAGCGTTTACACAGGCCTGCTGAGGGCAACGGAAACATTGCTTCTTTGTATTGCAGGAGTAGTTTACAGCCTCGCAGGGTAACTAACTTTGTGTAGTTGATCTACAGCACTTGCACGATAAATTTGAACCCAGTCGCTCCAGCACTACGAGTAGTTGCAATATTATTTATTTACAGTTCGTGTTCCTATTATGGCATCAGACAGAAAGAGAGAGAGAGAGAGAGAGAGAGAGAGAGAGAGAGTAAGTTACAATTATAAAGACAGGTAAGGCTAGCAAATGAGGACTGAGACCTCTACAACAGGGTTTTTACGCCTGAAAGCAGGTGCATGATTTAACAAGCAGGCTATCAGCCTAGATTTTATGCGCAGATGGAGAAAAAATGCGCAGAATTTTTGTAATGAGATGAAAGCAGAAATAATAAGAAAAGACGAAATGAAAGAGAGAGAGAGAGAGAGAGAGAGAGAGAGAGAGAGATACAGAGAGAGAGAGAAAGAGAAAGAGAAAGAGAAAGAGAAAGAGAAGAGAGAGAGAGAGAGAGAGAGAGAGAGAGAGAGAGAGAGAGAGAGAGAGAGAGTAAGTTACATATATAAAGACAGGTAAGTCTAACAAATGAGGACTGAGACTTCTACAACAGGGTTTTAACGCCTGAAAGCAGTTGCATGATTTAAAAAGCAGGTTCTCAGTCCAGTTTTTATGCGCAGATGGAGAAAAAATGCAGAATTTTTGTAATGAGATGAAAAGCAGAATTAATAAGAAATAATAAGAAAAGATGAAATGAAAGAGAGAGAAAGAGAGAAAGAGAGAGAGAGAGAGAGAGAGAGAGAGAGAGAGAGAGAGAGAGAGAGAGAGAGAGAGAGAGAGAGAGAGAGAGAGAGAGAGAGAGAGAGAGAGAGAGAGAGAGGATCCAACCTTAAGCAGACTAGCACATCAAAATGTTGCAAAAGCACATACCTTTTTTTAACGTGATTGAGTGGCTGACCAGTTTCCATGCACACTACCGTCCAGGCTTTGTTCCGAGAACTACAATCTCGGTGTTCGGGACAAGTTCTGTCGTACAGAACACAATGTTTACGGATGCATTCCATGAATCTCTGTTCATCGTCCAACTCTCGCTGCGGCACTCGCGCATACTGCTGAGCAGGGCGTGACACATCCGGCACGCCACTGGACTCAAGTTGCAATGCCAAAAATCCTGGAGTATCATCAGTGATGGAGGTGACGTCAATCATATTCAGACCAAAGGAGGTGAGCTGTAGATACAGAGCAGTGAACGCCTTTTGAAATTAACAACAAGTACCAAAATGCCATTATATAAAGAAGCCTTGCTTGGTAGTTTAACATGTTCTTCTATTTGGCAGCATGTTACAGTCCGAGCCTGGGTTTTCCCAATACGGTTCAAATGGTCGCAAGATCAGGACTCTGCCAACCGAGTTATGGTCGTAGTGAGGAGCACTATTCATCCTCGCCTTGTAACATGCTGCCAAAACTCCCCTTATTCATGACTCACACATGACGGGTTTACGTGGCTCAAGTAAAAAAACTTAAAAAAAAACAAAAATCGAAAAACAACAGTGCAGTAAAACATGTAATAGCGACCACTCGACCATGGCAACCACTCGACCATGGCAACCACCCGACCATGGCAACCACCCGACCATGGCAACCACCCGACCATAGCGACCACTCGACCATGGGAACCACTCGACCATGGCAACCACCCGACCATGGCAACCACCCGACCATGGCAACCACTTGACCATAGCGACCACTCGACCATGGCAACCACCCGACCATGGCAACCACTCGACCATAGCGACCACTCGACCATGGCAACCACTCGACCATGGCAACCACTCGACCATGGCAACCACTCGACCATGGCAACCACTCGACCATGGCAAACACTCGACCATAGCGACCACTCGACCATGGCAACCACTCGACCATGGCAACCACTCGACCATGGCAACCACTCGACCATGGCAACCACTCGACCATGGCAAACACTCGACCATGGCGACCACTTTTCCTTGTCACGGACGCATTCACATTCAAAACAGCTCGGATAAGGCGACCGCTCGCTCTACGCGACCCACGACTATCCACTCGCGACCGCGTTGCGCAGTGCTAGTACGTGGAAATGTATACATTGCATGGTGCACCATGCATGGTAGATCTACACATTAGTGCAGGAAGTGTAGATGTGCATGGTGCATGCACGACAGTTGACAGGTCTGAGGACCCCAGGCACGTGAGTCGTGGTAGAGAAGCATAGGTGTGTGCACTGTGAGTGTGATACACTGATCAAAATGATGTATCACATCAAGAGTTCATAACCCGCAAGAGTGTGCAGCGGGCATAGACCCAGCACTCGGCGAAATTCCTACATTACGTCATGCGCAGCTTGTCATTCAAGGTAAATTTGGGTTCTTTGCGATTTCTGGAAACTATATCCTGAACCGCTCCTAACTCAAGGCTGAAGCCTCGACTTTTAGAAGCTTTTTTTTGAAGACTTAATTAATCTCAAAAACAAACTCTTTCTCCAAGAATCCATGGACATCGCGACAGGAAGAAGTGAGGATGCTGTTAAAAATATTGCATTGCCGTCGAGGACAATCATTCTGATAGCTGTGCAACTCAGCCGAAAAATGCTCCTTCGACGTATTCTCTAAAGTTCCTCAACCATTTGAAATCATCTTCGAGGAAAGCACCGGAAATATGCCGATGGCCTGGGGAAGAAATAATTGTTCTTGAAGAGACTGACTGCACTAGTGAAGGAAGAAGGCGATGAAGAGCCACCATTGCATCGAAAAAATAAATAGTTTTGTCTAGAGCCCGCCGTGTGCTTTGTTTCACTTATTCTTCTTGAGGCTCATGACTCAGACTCAGACTAGAATCGCAGTTTAGGCAGTTTACCCAGGGAAGCATCCTGGTTTGACTGTAAAATTTAGAAGAATTCATCGGCGTGACTCATCCCACTGCACCAAAAATGACACAATGAAGGAATTCCGCCGAGCGGGCTTTCATACAGGGACTGATCAGGAGTTGCACACTCTTGGGGATTATGAACTCTTGATCACATGTTGATATGGTCACGCGACCCACCGACCCACTGAACCTGGATAAGAAGACCACCTGGCCATGGCGACCACTTTTTCTTGTCCCTTGAGGGGTCACCTTAGACAGGTTTCACTGTACCAAAATGTAGGCGTGCCAATAAAACAAAATGGTGGAGCAAGTGTATAATTTCTCAAGATTAGTATTAAATTTTTATTAAATGTCAATAGGGTTTTTTTGTTTTTTTCCCAAATCTGTGAATGTTTTTTTTGGAGCAAGTGCACTACCGTAAAATCCCGCCAGAGCGCCCCGTCTCTCCCATCCGCCCCTCCCTGACTTCTTGTCAGGGACGTGATTGATTGTATCCTCGTATGACTCTGTCGCAGTCTGTGATGCCGTACTGCACTGCAGACGCGTGCTCGACCCTGCTGGAAATGTACGCCACAGTGCCCACCCTCCTGACCAGGGATCGCACAAACCCTGCGTTTTGCCGGGTCTGCACGACTCCTGGCTCTTGACCTTTGGTCGGTGTACGAGATGCACGAACAGTTTTCGTAGTGTGAGTACTTTTTCATGTAGCAATGAATGCGGCAATTAGGACTCGCCCATCCGCCCCTCCCCACCTGAAGCGTCGAGGAGGTAGGGGCGCTCTGGCGGGATTTTACGGTATTATCAAACTAGGTACACTGGTAGTCTTGCAATTAACGTTAGGACGTAAAAACCTTGTGTGTGCCATAACTCCACACTCGACCTCGGATTGACGTCAAACTTGATTCATGCGAGTGTGTGTGTGTGTGTGTGTGTGTGTGTGTGTGTGTGTGTGTGTGTGTGCGTGTGTGTGTGCGTGTGTGTGGGCACGCGTCTTCTTGCTTTCGTTACAAAAGGCCAGGTTCGCTACTTGTAAATTGTTCTGAGGATGGGTGATTAGCCCGGAACGTCATAATTATTCGCCATCACTAATAGAAGAATTTGTCATCCAGCTCGTGCTGCAAGAGTCAATAGCAACTGAACAGAGCAGTTGTCAGTTGACAACCCCCCCCCCACCCCCTCCTCTTTATTTTACAATGCAGTTGTGTGATGTCCACCACTTTCTGAGTTGTAGTAGTAATAATCACGTACATTTATTCAAAAATTAAAGGACTTGACAAACTATGTTCCTAGTAGTCACCAGAATTTTAGCTTTGCCGGCTCTTTCCAGTACTACCAAGGATTTTCTGGGGAAAAATAACGCAATTATTGTGAAAGGTATACTGTGTTCGTAGCTACTTTACATGGATCCAGTGTGAAATGTTATAAAATGTGTAGCATATGACCCACATACTTGTGTGAAATTTTGAGCACAAATGAAGATAATGTAGCTGGTCAATTCCGGGGGCCAGCCCCGCGGAGTACAGCTAATTATTGTTTGTGTTACAAACCGAATGAGATTGTTAATATGGGCATCCCAAATGCCCAGTAGAAAGCCCCCTCACTGCAGAAATCACCACACTAAAACCATAAACAAAATACAACATTTAGCTCGAAATTATGATGCTTCATTAATTTTCAGGTTTTTCGTTTCATATTTTCTCTTCAGGCAAAAATCAGATATCAAAGGGAGAGCTAAATCGACAGGTGTAACAGCTATATTCTCCTTGGCAAACAAATAAACAATGTGAGTTTTTGAAGGATGGGGAGACCTGAACATTTCAAATTTATCACTTTCTTTCCCCTGGTACATTGCAGAAATTGAGGTTGGTTGATGCCCTCCTGTGGGTGGGGTTGGGAACACCAAAATGCCATCAGTATGGGTGATACATATTGTAGGCTGCCTCTGGAGTGAAAAAAACTTATCAGTGCCTTCTACTATAGCCCTTGTCCCATAGCTCCTACTGTTAGAGCATTGCTCTTGACAAGCAAGGTACGAGTTCTGGTGGAGTTTGCATTTTTTGTCCCTTCATGGAGTTCACCTAACAGAATGGTCCCTTGAAATATTGTGAGTTTATCACGTACACTCAAACAATCTCCTGCAACCACACATACACACATGCTACACCGCACACACACTTACACACGAACACACACACACACACGTTTGCACACACACACACACACACACACACACACACACACACACACACACACACACACACACACACACACACACACACACACACACACACACACACACACACACACACACACACACACACACACACACACACACACATACAAACACACACACACACACACATACTGCCGCACGCACTGTCGCCCCCCCCCCCCCCCACCCCATACACCATTCCTTAACCCCCTACTACCATACGCTTCACGAACACTCACTCACACACACACACATGCATACGCTCCAGGAACACTGACACACACACACACACACACACATGCATACGCTCTCACTTGAACACTTGAACATGACTGTGGAACACACCGAAATCAACATCCAGCACTCGTGACAAGACCGGATGATACCTAGGGTAAGCATTTTTAAACGCAAAATCCACTGGTGTTGACACGGCAAGGCCTGTATTGGAACCAAGATAATGCCTCGATCGGTGACTGCAACTTTCAACTCTACGTCTTACCAACGTGGCTAAGGTTAACAAAACTCACTCCAAACCAGCACTGGCACCTTACCGTTTCGACGGGTGACCACGCGATCCCTTCACTCTGGATATTTAGTTGCTGTGACTCCTGCCAGGGGAATGCTCATTACGCGCAGTCGTAGGCAAATGTTGTGAAAACCTCTCTCCTTGAAAACAAACGAGTATACCTGGTTTTAGAGTTCGTATCGGAGTAGCCGTTCTGCAATACAATCTGTCCATCGAATACTGCACACATTGGCATAACCAGCTCGTGACATTTGATCCAGGGCTAGTATTTTCGAAGACCTTCTTCCCCAAGCCATTGCTGACTCTTGGTTGACTCCTTGTGGACACATTTAGGTACGGTTGACACCCGCGCACCCGTCACCGACCTGTTTCGCACTTTTGCCTATCACCAACTTCAAAGGTGGAACAAACTGTCGACTGTGAATTATTCTCTACAATGGAGCCGGGAAAAGTTGTACGGCCAAGCAACCACTTTTGTCACTCTGGGTCCCGTTCTGAACTAGGCTGTACTGCATTTGACCTTCTCACTATGTACAGGTTCCTGCACGAGTACGAGGGCAGTACCGCGGAATCCAGCCCGCGCCGCGATAGCGGCAAGGGCTGGATGAACAGCGGTACTGGCCGAGTATGAGTGACTGGAACGTGTTTCCCGTGTGCACCCAAGCCAAATAAAGAGATACATGACAGACACACCTGCATTGTGTTTTGTGATTGTTTTCCGGTACAGTTTTTTGTAGTAGTCCATAGTGCTTTTTTTCTCGCGGTGCGATTGACATTGTCGACTGGGCATCGGGCATTCTGGCTGTTCTGTTCCTACGGATTTTTCCCACGTCTTGATCGGAAACCTCGGCAAATTGCGTGGATCCTGCAGGTTGCTGAGCATTGCGCGCTTTGGTTGAGGCTCATCCGGCTCGTCCAAGATCTCCTTCGCGAGCGACTCCGCAATAAAAGTTTCAGTCTCTTCCTCAACTTTTCGGAGGAGCTCATTCAGATCGCCAATATCGTTCAACAAAGGGGCTTCTTTTCTCCCAGTTCCAGATCAAATGTTGGAGCGCCATAATAATAATAATAATCTTTATTAGCCAAGATGACAGTTGTGGTTGCAAACAGTCGCTCTTCTGCTTTAGTTATTTTATTACTTGTACTATTAGTACCCAATGAAAGACCTTGAAGTAGAGAGTCAGTCCACATGGTCCAGCGGCTACTGCCCGACGGGCAGTGGAATCCGTTCCTGCCCGTCGTCAAGTGACGACGGGCAGTGGAATCCGTTCCTGCCCGTCGTCACTTGACGACGGGCAGTGGAATCCGTTCCTGCCCGTCGTCACTTGACGACGGGCAGTCGATCCAGTTCCATCTGGCTTTGAGCAGGCAGGACTGCACTTTCCAGCCCGCGCTGTTTGATCTGTCATTGGTCAACTCCAAGGCGACAAAAACGTGACACACGGGAAACTACAGTCCCAACTGGATCCCATTCTGAATATAGCAATAAAACTGCTTTATGGCAGATTTCTAAAAAGTTATTGTTTTGTTTGTTTGTTTGTTTAGCTTTATTTTACTTCACCAGAAGCACAGGCACTTCAGTAACGTCTGGCGCTAGCCAGGGTCCACACTACAGCTTTAATTTGGTGTTTGTTTGTTTGTGTGTTTGTGCCACGCCTGGCGCTATCCCGTATCTGTCCCGTACCGTACCGTACCATCGAACACAGCTGGCCACATACAGCTGGCCGCAATAGGCCTTATGCACATTGTACAGATGCACGAAATCCCGTATAATCTTGTAGAATTCCGTAGACCCGGTTGGGTGTTGAATGTGCAGGACCCTATTGTGTTTACTGCTATTTCCACTATGAAATGGGCCATGAAGGCATTTCATACGAAATCCTTTTCCGGCAGAGATCTAGCTAGGCGTTAGTTCAATCCCAAAGTGAAGAAGGCTTGAAAAGTGATCGTTTGCCATGAATTGTGAGGCTAAATGGGTCAAACGCGCATGTATAGCACACAATGAACACCCAACCGGGTATGTACACACCTACGGCCATAGTACATAACTTCGTACATCTGTACAATGTGCATAAGGACTATGGAATCCCAGGTAATGCCTGAAAAAAAGGAGAATTGAAAAATTTATATTCCCTATTCTTTTTTTGCCATCATCAAGGCGGTAGATGGTGTCGTATTACCCTCAACCGTACCTGTCCCGAACCTGTCCCGTACCTGTCCCGTACCGTACCGTACAATCAAAGACGGCTGGCCACAATGCATATTCAAATAGGGCTTTCAAATACAAGATCATAACGTGTAGTGAAGCAACTTGGAAGAATTAGTATGTATGCGAAGTGTATCGGGGGATGCATGCAGGGCGATAGTGCAGTTGCGAATCCCAGGTTATGTCTAAAAACAAAAAGTAGAAATTTATAAGAATTTATAACATCCTCTGCTTTTTTTGTCTATATCATCAAGGCAAAAATAAGCGTAGCGTAGGGCCCTGAGCTTCGAAGCTCTCTCGTTCTTTTTTTATTCTTATTTTTACTGTACTAGACTAGGGGAATTCCCAACAGGCGTCATCGCCTTCTTCACGGGTGGTGGCTGCAGTGTGGGCAGCATGGGCGCGCAAAGGGGGGGGGGGGGCAGAACAAGAGCAACAGAGACTTAGCCAGGGTGGTGGCTGCAGTGTGGGCCACACAACACGTCGCCTTTCTATTATTATTATTATTATTATTATTATTATTATTATTATTATTATTTATTCTTCTTTTTCTAAAGAATTCCAAACAGGCGTCAGCGCCTTTTTACAGGGAACTCTAGGTATAATTTGATGGATGAACGAAATTCAGCTGGTGAACTAGACATGCGGAAAGCCGGTGGAAGTGAATTCCACCTGGCAGCACCCAAAATAAGAAATTGCACTGAAGCCATACCCGGTGTTAGCAAGGGGGGAGGGGGCAGAACAAGAGCAGCAGAGACTTAAGCCACGGGTGGTGGCTGCAGTGTGGGCAACATGGGCCCGCAAGGTAAGCGGTCTCGCAGAAAAGGACTAGCAAGTCCATCTATTTAATCCTGTTGGGAATAGTCCTTATGCACATTGTACAGATGTACGAAATTCTGTACTATGGCCGTAGGTGTGTACATACCCGGTTGGGTGTTCATTGTGTGCTATACATGCGCGTTTGACCCATTTAGCCTCGCAATTCATGGCAAACGATCACTTTTCAAGCCTTCTTCACTTTGGGATTGAACTAACGACTAGCTAGATCTCTGCCGGAAAAAGATTTCGTATGAAATGCCTTCATGGCCCATTTCATAGTGGAAATAGCAGTATTAAAACACAATAGGGTCCTGCACATTCAACACCCAACCGGGTCTACGGGATTCTACAAGATTATACGGGATTTCGTGCATCTGTACAATGTGCATAAGGCCTATTCCCTAGTAAAAAAAAATAGAAAAATACATGTACTTATGTACATCCCATCATGGTACCATTTTTGTACAATGTCATGGAATTGTTCAGTCATGCTGACAAACAAAGTACATGTACAAGACGACAACGTCTGTAGGGCCTTCCCTATCAAAATAATAAATTCTACTACTACTACATGACTAGTACCCTCCACTGTGACTATGGACAGTGTAGGGTGCCCGCAGTGTAGCCTGGGTGCACACTGCATGCACAGGGTGCACTGAGCTAGCTGAGACTTACACTGTCACTTGTAGTGCTGGAGTCAAGTCTGAAAAAGTCGCTTTATTGAGGAGTTGCATTTGACACCTCGTCCAGGAATGACTTGACTTCAAATTCGGAGAGGCGAACCAACTATAGGAATTTTGGAGAAAACTAGAAGTTCCCAACGTTGTCCGTTTGGAAGTTATGTGCTATTTCCGGATTGGTATTGCCCCGTCTCACTCGCGGTTCGCTCGGATCTTTGTGCAAGTCATCTATTTTGGTGTCCGAAACCCATCCTAGATCCTTTTGAGTGATTACCCTTGCAATGGATAACAAACTCATTCAAGTATTGGTCATATATAGGGCGTTTGGTGGGTTCAAACCGTGTACCGGAAAGTCATCGACTGGGACCTCCTAGACACATGTTGGTAGCTCCTCGCGTACAATTGAGCCCGTGTCGGTCGAAATTGGCCTGGCACGTTAGTCATCGAGGCCTTTAGGGGCGTGGTGAAGGCCACGACTGGTATCGTTTAGAGAGCGAAGCGCAAATGGTCCCGACGACAACAAAACGGAAACCTCGGGAGCAAGGAGAGTTAGAAATGCTCTCAGTTCGTTTGGAGAGGACGCAAGGTGGCTCCCGAGAAGGATATACGTTGCTTTCTTAGTTTGTTTGGCCGAACGAGCCGTCAGACTAGCATATTGTTGGTCAACATCGTGAGAAAAAGGTATTCGAACATGGAAGCAGAAACTAATGTTTCAGAGGAGGATGTTCCCTCTACGTCTCCCCGAGGCTCGCTTGCACTTGTTCCGTCATCCGATGAGCCCACCGAGGGCTTACGTGCCCACCATTGCGCCAAAAGTGTAACTAGTTCGGCATCGCAATCTGCTGAGAAAGAAGACTGTGAAGCCGTTGATTCTGGTGAAGAACAGCTGTGCAGTACCTCGCTCTCGGAGTCTTCGGAATCTTCGTTGAATAAACTAACCCGCCCCAAGAAATCGTCACTACGTTTCATCACCCAGCGAAAGAAGCGAAACGCAACCTTCCGGAAACGCAAGGGTGGACTCATGAAAAAAGTAAGACTCATGCGGGAGTGTTTTCTTTTATACCCATTACCAAACACCGTGTGTGTGCTACTATGAATATGTTGCCACTTACGTCTTTTCTCCTTAAAAAAAAACACACTCCCCTGTTTTCCGCATCCATAGCAACCCCACCACTTTCAAGGATCATAACCCGGATACAGATCCTCAAGTGTGGCTTGTTTAGACATTAATTTTGTAATATGTTGTTATTATTTTTGTAAAGGTTATGCACAAGTTCTATGGTGTTATGGTGATAGTCCAGGTGCTGGCAATCCGCCTGTGAAGTGAGTGTATGGGCGATAGTGCAAACGTGGAGAATGTTGAAATTTGAGTAGACTGGTCATATAAGTGGGAAATTGCGGTAAACAATTTGGTTGCTAGCTGGCTTCGTAGACATGAGATACCTATTTTTTATATTTTTTATTGCCGCCACTGCGTTGGCTGTCAAGGTAAACTACACACTTCAACTGACCACTTGTCGTTGAACATGATTAGCTTTCCGTTTGTTCACCTGAGGATGCTCGACCTCGCATTGCAATGCCCTCGACTTGATGAATATTTTCTTGGGTGTTTAGTATCTGAAATGTGGCTAGTTTGCAATCCAGTCCATCTCTGTGAAATATAAACATGCCATTCTTCTGTCTATCTCTATTTCCTCTTTGCATGCTAATCTATGTTGCAGGGGTTTGAGCTCAGTAAGCTCACCAGTGCTGAAGTACTTGTCATGGTGTCCACAGACGACGGCCTCTTCTCATTCGGTACTCGCAGACTACGCCGACTACTTACAGCACCGCTTGGCAAAGAAATTGTAAAAACCTGTCTGCACACGCCTTTGTCGGATACAAGCGAGACCGCGAACAGCGATAAGGATGTCTGGACAGGAGATTGCATAGAAAGGGTGAACCTGTCGACCGAGGCCCAGAATATTGACAATGGCGTTGCATTGGTAAGTGCCATTGATCATTGATCCGTAGTGTCGTCAATAAAGCCGCCACTCGCCCAGTGGTGAGGAGTAGGACTAAGTTAAATCTGAATGTTATGTGACTGTACCACTAGACAGGTACATTCACTCATATGCCCTTGCTCCATGGCAACAAGAGACGACTTTGCATTGAAAGCCAATGTAGATAAGCAAGAGTAGGCACCTACTACTGTCGTGGACATGGAAATCCAGTCGATTGACCGGGGCCGGCGCTCTCAGCGCGTACAGTGTAAGTCGTTGCATGCAGTGCACAATCATGTTGATCCTGGCCTATGCGGCCAGCAGCCAGCAGCGCATACATGCTACGGCTGCATGGCCAGCGCCCTGTGGCCGCTAGACGTGCGACCGGATTTCCATGTCTACGACACTACTTCGAGCTGTGACCGACTCACCGGTGTAGAAATCACTTTGTTGTGTCATGGCTTGACAGAAGTGTGATCGAGTGTCTATACAACCCTGGACCTGTCTTGTGTTGGGTCATCAGGGTCAGCACACATGAATATACTGTCCTTTGGTCCGCTTGTCGACGGTAGCTGTAATGTGCCTCACTCACTTCCCATGAAGGCAGAAATGACTCAATGGCCGGGACAGATTCAGTTGAAAACCAAAATCCAGGCAGGGACTGGGAGGGGTGGGGGTCGTTGATTTTGGGAACGATTTAAAATTAACTTCCTTCTCATTTTTAATATTGAACGAGTTGTGTTACTTGTGTATATACATGTGCAGTGGAGTGTGCCTGTTTTCTCTCTGTGAAGTCTATTCATTTCGCGACTGTTTGCTTCCAATGCGCTAGTCTGGCTTTGATCATGTTTGTTTGTCATATAGACAATAAGCACTCTATTTTGTCAGCGGCAACCAAGGTGACAACGGGGAGCTGCGGGTAGAAAAGCCATAGCATGAAAAATTGTGGTGTCAAAGAGTACAACCACAGCAAGAGTTGATATGACTGGTTTAAATTGAGTTTGCCATTGCATATCTTCTACCTACCACATGTTGTGCATTTGCACGCTTTGTTTTCTGCGTTCACACTTGTCTGTTTGTGCATCCATCCATCTAACTTTATATTTGTCTACTTTAAAAAAAAGATACTCAATCTGCGGACAGCATGCTGTTTCTTTGTATATAATATATGTATACAATATAGGTATACAAAAGAGAAAGACCGAGGAACTACAATCTTGGCTCTCCATCGGAGCCCATTCCTGCACGTATATATATAATATAAACTCGGATACTGAGCCAGTAATAAGAGGGAAGAAACAGGCGAAGTCCCACGGCAACGAAGAAGTTCCTTTATCTGATATTGGGGACCCACCGAAGCTGGGTGTTGTGTTGCTTTGCTGCTTCGAGTTGTAGTCAGACGGCATTGTCATGTTATTTAAAACTGTCACAGTCAGTCTCTTCATCGTCCTCAGGTAACAGTCGGCATACTTTGTTGCTGCGGGACTTAGCTGGTGCACATTCACTGCGCTCACCTTCCCCTGTTCGGTCCTACGTAACCATGAACCTTCCAAGTTGGAAGGCTGTTGGTTTGCGCGCTAGAGATGTGTTAGAACTAGGTCTCAGGTCGTTGAATGGCTCAGTAGCCTGTCAGTTTTGTGCCCTGTTACCGCACTTTCTGACTGTTTATCATCTTGTTACAGTCGTGGATAGTTGCTGAATAACTCGTTCTCATGTGTTTCAACTCTTTTTGACATATAATATAACTACATAAGTGGGTATACCCAGGTTTCAACAGTGCTCAACACCACAGGGGTGGAGCGTAACCACAAAGGTCAAAAAGAATGGTTTCACCAATTATAGAAACATACGTTGTAACGCTGCGTTTCATGCACGTAGCTAAATGCTAAGGCAATCATCAGACAACTAATATAATTATATTATTATGCTCCATTCCTTGTTGCTTGAAAAGAGCATTGGCACAGGCTATTAAACCTAGCACAATTGTCAATTGTACAAGTTTATCACTTGCTCCCCTCCTCACCATCGGTAGCTGCAAAAGAGCGCAATCTACTAGCACATATTATCAGACCTAGCACTTCGTCCCTCCATATTCCAGCCAATGTAGACTTTATTTGGTGTTTTCTACTGTGAGCACCAATATGAAATTGTCTGATGAGTGCTTTCGCACGAAACTCGGAGTAGCAAAGAATTTCTCGGCTATCCATCGCTTGATGACGTGTGTGTCATTGCTCGGTCTTTTTTAGTGTTGAAACAAGCGTATTTATCACAAACGAGCGATCAGTTCCACTAACAAGCAAGCTATCGAGCGAGCTAACGAGTTTCATTGATATGACAAAATATGATTTTTTGAATAAAAAAATTTCTAAGTTCGATTTGTTTCAGCTGGTTCAAATAATAATAGTTATCACCGCCGGCATTTGGGGTTGCTCCTGCTTCACTTCGGACTGCTGTTTGGTGTCGAGATGTCTTTTCAGCGCCGTCGTCGAGTAGCCTTTGTAAGAATAGACCGTTTTGCAAAGATAGCAAGTAGCCCTGGTCTTCGCTGCATCACCGGAGAAAACTTCCAAACGACTATGCGTAACTTTCACTCGAATGGAGAGGTGACCCAAGCCTATGCTGCGACAGGTCAGCAGATGCGGAACAAGACATCAGCAGAGTCCACCAAAGCTGCAACGACAACTGAAACAACTCAAGTGTCGTGCAGGCATACAGTCACTGTAACTGCGAGTGATTTTCACTTTGCGCGGGACTGGACTCTCGATCGACCAGGGAGTCGTAAAATATTTTACGACTTCCCGGTCGACATGTACTGTCATGTGTACGGGGTACGGTGTACGGTGTTCGTTAGTGCAAACGAGCTGGCCGCACAAACGAGCCGAGTTTCTGGCGAGCGAGCTAACGAGTATCCGGTGAGATCGTTTCAACACTAGTCTTTTTGACGTTGAACACCCTCTCCGCAGCTGTGTGGGACCAGAGCTTAGTCTATTATTATCATTATGTACTATGTACTTATATTGTTTGTTTGTGTGTTTGTGCCTACGCATCTGTGCAGGTGTGTATGAAACATATTGTGTGTGTATGTGCGTGTGTGTTTGTGCGTGTGTGTGTGTATGTGCGTGTGTGTTTGTGCGTGTGTGTGTTTGTGCGTGTGTGTGTTTGTGCGTGCGTGTGTATGTGCGTGTGTGTTTGCTCAGATGCCCTGCATTCAGCAGGCACAAGCCATGGCAGCTGAAAAACCAGCGCGACCGCTTGGTATGAATCCCTATGCGCCAGACCCACATCCACCGCGAAGTATGAGCCTAACCTCTGGCGAGGATCAAATGTCTCAACAGCTCAACCGGTTTTCGCCCTCAGACTGCAACGCCGAGTATCGGAATGTGATGCAGCAGCCGTCAGCAATGACCCCTTCATCGGACCTGC